GAGCCCCATGCACATGGGGACATCACACCAGCACCGTGCGTGCCCACAGGCGCTGCGGCCCCAGCGCTGGCATCAATTTACCTCTGGAACACCTCAATTTAAATGCTAATTCTCCTTTACCGATGGGTAAGGCAGCTATTGCATATTGTGAGGCTGTTTAGTGCTGGCACTGAAGTGGAGATACACGCTGGGGACATGGTGGAGAGGGATGGGCAGCGCTGGTCTTATCCACAGCACAGGGGCTGATGGAGGGATGGGGATGGTGATGGTGGCCACACCATAGGGGTTTGGATTGATGCTCTCTTCTGTCCCCATTGCAAACAGTGGTTGGGGCCAAAAGTTAGGGAGCTGGGGAGAGCTCCAGCGAGATTGGTCTCTCCTTTTTCATCCTGCTTCGTTACACAAGCATGGGGCCTTGCTAAAATTAATGACCAGTAAATTTGGAATAAGTAACTGCTGCTTCAGAGGGTTTGCATTAAGCCTTTATAATTCACCCGTGCCTGAGGTCACAGAGACACATGGGGGCAGATTTACGGCATGCTTACCTTCTCCAAAGTGGCTGTGGAAACAGGACACCCTCTTTCCTGTCTCCCAATGGCTTTAGATTAACATTCTTTGGGTGATAATAAGCTAAAAAGAAGCTATTTCTGCATGTCCCATGTCAGATGCAGGCTGGGCTCTTGCAAGCTTCCAGCCACCCCAGTGGGAAGGCTTCTCAGAGGGGAAGTTGGGTCAAAACCTGGCATTACATAACCTCAAACCCATCACATTCTCCCCAAGCCATTGAGGGACAGAAATAAGGGAGATTAATAAATGATGCTTGCTAGAGAAGGTGTCCTTCCAGGCTTGCATACCAGAAAGCACCGTCCTCCCATAGTCACTTTGCTGAACACAGGCACTCTGGATGATAATGTGATTAACGTTTGTAGCTGTGCTGGCTCAGATAAGGGTAATTAAATCTCACGCTCCAGGGCATAAGCTAATCACTCGTGGGGTCATTTTCTATTACTATTATGGTTTTACCCCTTCATGAATATATTTGCCCAGTTGCTGTGATTCAAGGCATGCATCCATGGCCAGCAGTGGAAGGAGGCAGAAGCCCCATCCCACTTGATGATTTGCAGTAGGAGTTGCACAGGAGCAAGGAGGCCCCTAAAAGGATCAGTGGGCAGAGTCCACCCCTGAATGTGAGTCATCAGATGATGTTTCACTACTGCTCCCACTGACAGCTTGGCCCTGGCTTTGAGCACCTTTGCCATGGGATGAGGTGTCCCAAGGCTCAGCAGAATCATTCCATAGATCAGGACCCTGTGGCTGTGGCCCCATCCAGGAGGACCACAGTGCTCTGGCTGCTCGCAGTGCCTGCATTGGGCTCTCCTGTTCCCCTGGGCTCCCTTTTGCTTAGGGATGCTGTGGGATGCTCATCCCTTTTGGATGCTTCCCATCAGCTGTGTGAGCTGACACCAGCCCTGAAGAGCTTCGCAGTGCAGCCCTGCGCTGCACCGCACCACGGCTGTATTGCATGACCTTGGGTGTATTATTTAAGGTCAGATTCCCCAAAAGCATCTCTAGTTTGTGTATCTAGGACAGGAGAACACCAGCACAGCGGGATCTTGCTGCCTGAGCCCTCCTCCTGGTACCTGAGCAGCCTTTATCACAGCAGCATCCGAAGACTGAGGGAGCTGCCGTTTGCTGTGTAACCCAAGGCAATGGGTGCGTTATAGACTCAGCCAAGGTTACAGGAAGTGCCCACCAAAGCCGGAGTTTTGAGCTCAGTTTAATGCAGGTGACTGCCTTCCTCCTCAGCAAACCCTGCCTTTATAAAAGCCTTTGGCCATTTGACCTTTCCCAGCATCAAGGCTTGTTTGTCTGGAAGTCAGCTCCCTCCCGAGGCAGGGATGTACTCTGCTTTGGATGCTACTCAGGACCGGTGCTGCGAGGGCGAAAGAGCATTTCCTTGTATAATGACTCAGTATCTGCACAATGCCCTGAGAGATGATGAGATCCCCACCAGGAGAGTGCTGCCAGTCGATGCGTGCATTCAGTGTGCGTTGTGCTGGATGAGAGCAGTGTACTCACTGCTCCTGCCAGTACCAAGCATCTGCTCTGTGAGTAATGGGGAGATACGGGGGTGGGGGCAGAACAAGAGACAGAGGAGGATGCTGTGGGGCTAACAGGGGCTGGGATCAGGCCTGGATCTCTCCCGATCCCATTGGAATAAACCAATAGGAACCATGAGGTCATGAAGGCATCACGGTGCTTCTTGTAAATGGCACAGACCCCCAGTTGTTGAGCCCCGCACCCATTCAGAAGTGCCAGTGGCTCAGGCGGCACATGCACAGGGATGCTGTCACATCCCTCCCCTCCTCTCTGTCCCTGTGGCTCACACAGAGCCTGATGGCTTTGATCAGCGCTGCCAGAGAGCACAAAGCCTGGTAAGGAGCCGTCCTGTGCCTCTGTGGCGAGCAGCGCCGGAGCCGCAGGGCTGCTAACGAGGAGCAGAGGAAGAGGAGCTGCAGCCCTCTGCCGGCTGCGGGTCCGCAGCGCACGGCCCTGGCGCCGCCGGATGCGGGGGGTCCCATCGCCTGCCCCCCCGTTTGCCCTCCGGCACCCACATGTGGTGTGGAGCGGCTGATGGGGCTCTGCACCCAATGGGTGCTTCCCCCCCCGCGTGGATACAGTTCATCCCTGGGGTGATGGGGAGCAGGGGAATGGAGGTGGGAAGAGGATGCAGGAAGGGTTTGGTAGCAAAAACGCATCACCAACATGCTCCTAAAGCCTTGCCTTCTATTGCTGCGTGACAGGAGCATGTGCGTGCTCACACCTTGACTTGCAATTGCCCCTTGTTTTTCCCTGTCATTTTGGCTGCGGAGCAGTTAAAGCAAATGGGATTGCAGCAATTGGCACTGCAGAGTGTGGCGTTCTGATAAATACCTGATCATAGAGGTGTCAGCTCTGAACAGCAGCTCCTGTGTGCATGTTCCCCTCGTATTGGTGTGCATCTTCCCCTTCTCTCTCCTCAGCTGCTCATGTATGGACCCACCAGCCCCTGGGGTCTGTCCTGTCACCCCATAGATTAGATGTGAGGACAAAGCTCTTCCCTGTGAGGGTGCTGAAGCGCTGGCACAGGGTGCCCAGAGAAGCTGTGGCTGCCCCATCCCTGGCAGTGCTCAAGGCCAGGTTGGACACAGGGGCTTGGAGCAAGCTGCTCCAGTGGAAGGGGTCCCTGCCTGTAGCAAGGATTGGAGCTGGAGGAGCTTTAAGGTCCCTTCCAACACAAAAGCAGGCTGGGATGCTGTGAGCCCAGCTCAGGCACAGGGACAGCTGCTCTGTGGGCTCATGGCATGGGTGTGTGTTTGTGAGATGGTCCAGGTTGGTTTGTACTGGGGGAGAAGGAGATGCTGCTTCTTTGCATCTTCCCTGTCCTGTGCTTGCATTCAGGGCACTGGGTTAACGGAGTCTCCTGGTGTCTGCTTCTTCAGGTGTTGGTAGCACTGATGCTTTCCTCCCTTTTCTGCTGAGGCAGAGCAGCAGGGACACGGAGGCTCCTTCCCATGCTCCCTACTGACTCGCCTCGCTTTGCAGCCCCTCTTCCCAGCACCCACAGCTCTTGGCTCTGCAGTGATTGCAGCTCTACATTTGCATTGCAAAGACAGCAAGAGGCTCAGAACAGCAAAGCAGTGCTTCAGCACAGGGATCAGGCACCCGGCATGATCAATAGGAGATGTGTGAACACGTGTGTGAGCAAGAGGCTTTTCCCCTCAGATAAACAGACCTCTTTGGCAATAGCTGAAGTGAAGCTCCTGAGATGCAATTGGGAGCTGGTGGCTTTCAGATGGGGTGCTGCTGCCTAATGTGTCCCATTGTGACCTGCAGCTCCTCATCCCAGTGCTCCTCGCCCACCCCAGTGCTGGAGCATCCCCAGGGTGGTTGTGTGGGGCTACACAGTGGTGCAGGATGCATGGGCCATATCCTGGCCCTGGAGCAGCAGTAGGGCTCTGGGGAAGTGCGCCACCAACTCAGCATCTCACTGCAGTGGTGGCTGAGGTGTCCCCACATGTGAGATGATGCTGGAGCATCCCCCCCCATGGATGCGGGGGATAAAGGCAGGGAAGGGGAATGAAACCAGGAGCTGGTTAGAGGAAAATCTGTTCCTAACAATGCAGCCTCCCACAGCGCCTGGCACTGACCTGATTTCACAGGAACCTCCCTTTTCCCTGCTCCGCTGCCCTTTTGTCTCCGCTCCCAGAGGACACGGAGCCTCCTGCCCTATATTTTGGCTCTAAGATCAATATTGAAGCTCCCCCCTCTCGTTCCCCTTGCTCAGGCGCGAGGCATTTCGCTTGCGGGGGGGAGGCTCGTCTCCCAGAGACCTGTCTGTTCACTGGTTCAAATCATTGCCCCGCTATCGTTGTTCTAGAAACAATTCATTAGGGGCCTATTATACAATGTTCTACCTGCCAAGGTTAGAAAAGAGCCTGCGTGTGTGGGGAAATCACACCGTGAGCTGCACACGCTGGGTTTGGGGTTTTTCTTTGGTGTCTGTCTATAAATGAACCTTTTTCTCCTTTTACAAAGTCATCTGGGGGCAGAGCCGTGGAGGGGATGGGGAGCTCCAGTGCGGCTTGCTCATGGTTCTGCCCTGGGAAGATGCTGCTGGTGGTGGGAAGGGGCAGGGTTGGGGTGTCACAGCCTCCTCACTGTTGTCTGCCCCCTCTCACTTTAAAACCTGAGCCAAAACCCATGGCTGCCTCCCCAGGCTCAGAGCAGTCTCTTGTTGCAGAGGGCTGATGGAGCCATGGTCCTTGGGGAGCTTATTAAGCATCACCGTGGAAAGCTTTACAGCCAGGGGCTGCCAACCCCATCCCCTGGCAGGTCTCCTGCTTGGAGATGCTCTTCACCCTCCTGAGCCACCTATCCCTGTGCCGTTGGGCGGCTCGGCCCCCCTGCCCGGCTGTGGCCTGCATCGTTGCTTTGCAGTTGTCTTCTTCTCTCTGCAGGGAGAATAACTTCATCAAGGACTTTCCGCAGCTGGCCGACGGCCTCCTGGTGATCCCGCTGCCCGTGGAGGAGCAGTGCCGCGGGGTCCTCTCCGAGCCGCTTCCCGACCTCCAGCTTCTCACCGGTACGAGCTGCCCCCATGGGGTGAGCACAGGAGCGAGAACCCCTTTTCCCACCCTAGATCCCAGTGTGGTCCCCAAGGGGCATCGGAACACCCAGTCTCGGGGTGCTTCATGGCATCCCCTCTGCGTGCCTGGGGCGGATGTAGTGTACGGGCTGTGTGGGTCTGCCCCAGCATGGCAGGGCAGCATCTCCATCCCTGCGAGATGCAGGCAACCACATCCATTGCAATGCTGGTCCTGCCAGCAGCCTGGGGACACCATGGCATAGCCACCAAAGGAGGTCACCATCCCTCCCCCTATCCCATTTCATGCCCCTGTATCATGTAGCAAAGCAGTTCCTCAATGTCAGCATTAAGCATCTCTTGCAGCAGCAAGGGCTGAGCATCGGCTCTTTCCTTTGCAGGGGACATCAAGTACGACGAGGCAATGGGCTACCCCATGGTGCAGCACTGGCGGGTCAGGAGCAACCTCTACAGGGTGAAGCTCAGCTCCATCACCCTCTCTGCAGGTGAGGGTTGGTAGCATCAGCAAGATGTGTGTCTGCATGGGCGGGTGGGTGGTGGTCCTCTGCCCCAAGGCACAGTCATGCCAAGCATAGAATCATAGAATAGTTAGGGTTGGAAAAGACCTTAAGATCATCAAGTTCCAACCCCCCTGCCATGGGCAGGGACACCTCGCCCTAAACCATATTACCCAAGGCCTCGTCCAACCTGGCCTTGAACACTGCCAGGGATGGAGCATTCACAACCTCCCTGGGCAACCCATTCCAGTGCCTCACCACCCTAACAGGAAAGAATTTCCTCCTTATATCCAATCTAAACTTCCCCTGTTTAAGTTTTAACCCATTACCCCTTGTCCTGTCACTATAGTCCCTAATGAAGAGTCCATCCCCAGCATTGGCTCTGCTTGTGCAGTAACTCACACTACAGAGATGAGCAGAGACTTTCCTCCTTTATATATAGGGGAAACTGAGGCAGAGAGCTCAGTCCCTGGGGTCAGAGCCAGGATCAAGCTAAATCACTGCAGTAAGGATTCATGAGGGGGTGGTTCTGTATATGCGTAGGTACAGAAAACAGTGAGTTCTTGGAAGCACGTGGTTTCAAAAGGCCCCAAAGCACTTCTAAATGTGGGTCATACAAAGCAGGGAGTCGCAGATGAAGCAGGGGGTGGGTGGGAGGATCCTGCAAACGTCAAAACATTTCAGTGCCGCGTGTTCAGAGCTGCCCGTTTTGTCGGGAAACGCTGGAGCGTTTTGTTGTGACCTGGAATGTTTTGCCTTTTCCTTTCAAAACAGAGGGTTTTTTATGTATGTGTATTTAAAATATCAACCTGGTTTGAAATGGAGAAAGAAAAAAGGGATCTGGTGCAGACAGAACAAAAGCACCTGCTTGGAGATGAAAAAATATCTTTGGGTTCAGCTCCGAATGAGTTCTTCTTGCTGCTTTATTAAACCCACCTTCTCTTTCAATAACCCAAGCAACCAGCCGGCCCCATAACCTCATTTTGGTGCCTGTAATGATGTATTCTCCTGCAACACGTTTTCAGTTCCACCACTGAACCAAGCCAATGATATCAGCCAGCTCTAAATGATGCCCAGGTGCTGTGTGGTGGCCTCAATGATATCTCCATAGTACAGCAATGTTCTTGTCCTGTGCCACCCATCCCCACTATGTGCACGGGGCTGTGGAGTCCCCTGAGCCTCACACACCTATGGTGTACCCAGTGCCATCAGCCCAGACCCTGTGTCCCCCTGGACTGTCTCCAGCTTTCCTAGAGGTAGTTATTGGTTGTACAGTATGCTTCCTCTGGAGATGTGGTGCAACCTGTTATAAATCCATCCTTACACCAGGAGAACACCTGGTAAAGGCCAAGCACATTCTCCAGGAGACCATCAGTGATGTTCCAATGGCCTGAAGAAGAGGATGGAGCTGGCAGGAGGGAGTGTGCACACATATTCACATCCTGTTAAGGGATCTCAGAAATTACTTAGGGAGGGGGATAGTAGAAGGATGCCAGTGCCAAGGGTAAAGAACAGGTTGTGGATTCCAAGGGATCACGTAAAGCACGGAGGCAAGAGAGGAGGAACTGCGCTTTGCCCCTGTGTGGGAACTTACATGGCTCGAGCAGGGGATCTCTGGGTCTCCCTTCATCTCTGCTGACCCCCTGCCTCCCTTCCCACAGGCTTTGCCAACGTCCTGAAGATCCTGAACAAGGACAGCAGCCGGGAGGAGCTGCTCTCCTTCATCCAGCAGTTTGGCTCCCACTACATCGCGGAGGCTCTGTATGGCTCTGAGTTCAGCTGCACCATCCACTTCCCCAGCAAGAAGGTCCAGCAGCAGCTCTGGCTCCAGTACCAGAAAGGTGAGGAGCGCAGTGGGCACGGGCAGGGGTACCATTGCCGGTTGTCGTTTGCGCTGTTTTCCATCCATCACCCCCTTTCCCCTGTGCATTCACCATCACCACGCTGGTTAGTGGGCACAGACAGGAGTCTTGTACCAAACCAAGTGCCCAGCAGGAGGTGATGATGGCACAAGTCCATAGGCAGCATCCCAGAGCCAGGCGAACCCATCCTGCCTGCTCCTGCCCCCCAGCTCCATCCTTTCCTGCGTGACCCACATCACCATGTGTGCCCTGCACACTGTTGGTGCCCAGGGCTGGGTGATGGAGATGTGACATAATTGAGCTGTCTCAGGATGGCTTCATTTTATTGCTTGTCACAATGACAGTCTTTAAGGAAGTGCATTAAATCAATAGCAGACTCGTTGTGCTACACCATAAATAACGAGACACATCATTAAACAGGGCAATAAACTTCAGGACTTCGAAGTAATACAATTAGGTTATGTTTATAAAAACTCCCTTATTGCCATAGCCTTCCATTTGCCAAGTCATCTCTGTCCTCCAGGGAGCGGGGGATATTCCCTGGGTCTGATAGTTTTCCATTGAAAAACATCTCTGGTGTTTCCTATGTGTAAGGGCTGATGGTGGTAGAGGTCATCAAAGCACTTGTGCCTTGCCCATCAGAGTGGCCTTGGTTTGTGGAAGCCAACGGATGGAGATGTGCTCCCAGCCTCCGCCTCCATTGCTTTCTGCTTATTTATTCTCTCTGTATTCCCAGCACAGCTCATCTTGGAAGCGAATTTATAACACCCTGTACTCATTTGTTTGGGTTTTAAATAGTGATAAATGAAGTTTGCCATAGCAATGCCCTGGTTTAGCGGCAGAAAGCAGCATGCAGGTGTGATGTTTAGGTACTGGTGCTGCTGTGAAGCATTCGGGAGCACTCCCTGCAATCCCTGGGCAAGCGTATCAATGTGGAGCAGACTGCAGTGGCTCCATGGTCCCAGCACTGTCACTGCAGATGCAGTGATTCTCCTTTTTAGTCCATGGTATGTGGCTGGCTGAGGCAGGATCCCTCGCTCCTGCATGGAGCTATGCCTGTTTCGGGCTGCTTGCTGGGCTGCCCCATGTGCTGGGAGCATCCGGAGCATCCTTCCCCACCACCAAAGCACCCGTGGTACCCTGGGGTTGCATGTAATGCCTGGACATAAGCATTTAATTTCTGACCGTGCAGTATCTTGAGTATTTGGCTCCGACCTTGTTCTTTGTGCATGGATCCGTCTGTGGCCTCGGTAGCTGGTGGGGTTGGTGAGGTTGAACTTTGTGGCTGTCGGTACTGCAGAGGGGACCAGTGTTGTACTTAGCTCTCTGATGGGTGGAAAATGCTCTTGGAAGGATATCAAGGACATTCATGAGATATCGGTTCTGTGAACAGAGGGGAGACTGAGCTGGGCTCTTAGGCAGAAGCTCTTCCCTGTGAGGGTGCTGAGGCGCTGGCACAGGGTGCCCAGAGAAGCTGTGGCTGCCCCATCCCTGGCAGTGTTCAAGGCCAGGTTGGACACAGGGGCTTGGAGCAAGCTGCTCCAGTGGAAGGTGTCCCTGCTTGTGGCAGGGGTTGGAGCTGGATGAGCTTTAAGTTCCCTTCAGCACAAAGCAGGCTGTGATTCCATGACAGAGAAGTGTCACAGGAAACCCAGTGCTCTTTCCTGGAGAGCCCCCCTCTTAGCTAAGAGAAAGAGCTTGCCATTTAGGGTAGGCAGCATCTATTCCCAGCTTCTCCACTGGTTTACGCTTATTTTGCCAGTGACATAAGGAGGATGGGAATAAATAGCTCCAGCTCAGCAGTTCCTGATGCCTTCTCCACTCAGAAACAGCTTTGGCCTGCCGGGCTCCCCGCTGCTAGCCGGCCCGTTCCCGAACCGCTCAGCGAGCACACATATGCATCATCTCTAATAGATACACAACCAAGGCTGGCGTAGCTGCAATTTGTTAGTGAACAAAGCAGGTCAGGAGAGGAGGAGGGAGAGAGGAGTTTTGAGCTAATTGGAAAGGCACCAAAGAGGATACAAATATACATTGCAGCGTGTCTGCAGCATCACACAGAATAATGCTCATGTTTTAATCAGGTTCATCAATCGCGGGGCAGCCTCAGGAGCTGGTGAAGCCACAGTCGCGGTGTCGAGCCCTAATTGAAAACACGGGCTCAAAGAGGAGAGCACGCGCTGGCAGCCGGGCTCCTTGTGGAGCTCTGGCTCTCTGCCGAGGCTGGAGCAGCTGGAATGCTGTGCCCGCAGCCTGCACAGGAGCCTGGGGTATGGGTCGGTGTCTGCAGAGCCAAATGGAGGAGAAAGGGATCGGGATTCCAGCAGGAATTTGGTGTTGTCTTGCTTCCTGGACGCACCACCCTGTGGGGATGGTGTCAATGTGTACAGTGTTCCCCCTCCTCATGCAGGTAGATATGGTGTGTGCAGGGGAGGGAGCTCCTGCCCTTGTTCCTATGCAGTTCCAGGAGTAAATCCTCCAAACAAGGGAGCCGTAGGGTCTGCAGCACACTGAGCACTGCGCTCTCTTCATAGAAACATCCCCCAGTGTTAGCCCATGATCAGACCAGCCCAAACCCCAACTTTACTTCATGCGGAGTGATTAAAAGCCCATTTCTGGGGCTGATTCCTCTGGTTCTGTGCAGCCAAGCAATGCTTTAACTCATCAGAGTGGCCTCCAAGCAGGGACCTTGAGATCGACCCAGCCATTGATCTGTGCCACAGGAGCCTGCATCGGTTTTCCCCCCTGTCGAAGCCAGTATTTAACACTGATGGTGTCTCATTAAGCTCACACCAATTGTGTGAGCATCTTTGTTTGGCAGCTGGGGCAAACGTGATTCCCTCGGCCACCTCCTGTTCTGTGTAAGAATGTGCTGGGTCTGACTGGGATGGAGTGAACTGGCTTTGTTGCAGCCCCTGTGGTGCTGTGCTTTGGATTTGTGGCTAAACCAGTGTTGGTAACACCCCAGTGTGTTGGCTACTGCTGCTGAGCAGCGCTTGCACAGTGTTCAGGCTTCCTCTGTGTCCTCACAGGGAATAGGATGTGGTTGGCAAGATGCTGGGAGAGGACAGAGCCAGGGCTGCTGACCCAGACTGGGCTATTCCACATCACATACTGCCATGTTCATGGAGGAAACTGGAGGCAGAGGCTGGGACTCACCCCAGCACAGAGACTCATGAAGTGTATGGGAGGAAAGAGCGATCCCTCCATCTGGAAAACCCTCCTGCCAGGGATGACTTCATTTGCTGATAAGGGTTTATCAGAGACCTGGTTTTACTTTGGCCCCTTGGTCCAGCTGAATGAGGAAGAGGAGGAAAGCTTTATCAGGAAAAGGGAATTACTGCTCCGAGAGCAAAATCTGACAGCCCCAGTGGGATTTCTCCATGAGCTGTTCTAGCTTGCTCGTTCCCATTGGAGAAGCCCAGCTGGGGAGCAGGGAGGGATGCTGATGGGCTGGGGATGTTCTATGCATGGGTGGAGGAGGTTTGGAGGGTTTCACTATCTCGTTAAGTTGTTCAGGTCTGCAGTGAGAGAAATGTTTTCCTTGCATTTCCTATGATTTCTAGATAGAGTTTCCTTGGGTGAGCTTACCTGGGCAAGTTGGGTGCTCAGCAAGCTGAACTTTGAAAGTGGCTGCTGCAGACGTGACTGATGCTCCCCCTCAGTAACATCATTGAGCAAAACAGTACATAGAGGGGCTGTGGTCTGCCCACCCACCTTCCCAATACTTCTTTCTTGTCTCTTGGACCATACATTGTTGACTGCATTTACCTTTCAGAGGTTAAAGTTTTCATGCTTTCTTGTGGACTCAGCAATTTAGACAAAAGATCTTCATAAAATAGGAGCCATATTAAGGATACAACCTTGAGCTCTGCTAAAATAGCTGTCTGTATTCTTCTGAGCAGGGTGTGTGGATCCCTTCTGTCCTCTCAAGGTCTCATTCATCTCCCTTCAGGTCTGATACTGACATAACACATTTAAAATTGAACTCGTCCATGAGGGGAACCTGTAGTTTTCATTTCCTAGAAGCAATCAGGTACATTAAGAAAGCTGTAAGGCAAGCTTTGCATCTATTAAAGGAGTGTCATGGTTTAAGCCCCGTCGCAACTAAGTACGACACTCATCCCCCTAAACCCTCCCTGGTGGGATGGGGCGGGGGGGAAATTGGGTAAAGGTAAAACCTGGGGGTTTAGATAAGAACAGTTTAATAACTGAAATAAAGTTAATAATAACAGAACAGGGAAAAGAGAGGACTAAAACCCAAGAGAGACTGACAAGTGATGCACAATGCAATTGCTCCCCACCCGCTGACTGAGACTCAGCCCATCCTGAGCAGCAACGATGTCCCCTGGCCAACTCCCCCCAGTTTCTATCCCGAGCACAATGTTCTGTGGTGTGGAACATCCCTCTGGCTAGTTTGGATGGGGTGTCCTGTCTCTGCTTCCTCAGCTTCTCATGCCCCTCCTCACTGGCAGAGCAGGAGAGACTGAAGAGTCCTTGATTAGAGTCAGTGCTACTGAGCAATAACTAAACATTGGTGTGTTATCAGCATTAACCTCAGATTAAAGCCAAAACACAGCACTGCACCAGTTACTAGAGAGAGACTTAACTCTATCCCAGCCAAAACCAAGACAAGGAAATAGTGGCTTTCCCTTATACATTCTTGCTCAGAAGCAGAGCGTATAGAATTTCCCTGTCCTTGAGATCCTGTAACAACCACTCTATTACCTTTGTAACAATCTTGCTTGCAGTTTATGTCATTCTATGTATTTCAAACCCTCAGATTCTGGCATTTTGTTTGACAGAGGAAAAAACAATCTCATGGTTGCTGTGAAATTTAGTTTTGTCTAAAATATGTCTGTTCAATGACCTCATGCACTGCCTATTGTAATCCAGAACTGCCAGGCAAGTCGAGCAATTAGTTGTGCAGAATGAAATAACTTTAAATCCTTGCATTGAGTAATGACCCAGAAAAATCACTTCAGCTATACAATAGGAAAGACTCAAAACATCTGGCTTTAGTTTTACTTCCATAGCTCTGCCCGTTTTGATTAAGAACCAGGCTCTCCCCCCCGTCCCTTCAGAGACCTGGGCTGTTGGTTGCTGCCCAGAACAAATGTTCACAGCATAGTTGCTGCTACCCTAAGAAATGATAACTGCTCATAAACCAGCACCTGCATGGCAGTTGTTCTGCAAGCATCGTGTGCTTTGATAAACCAGCAACTGGTGTCTGCTTAAAGAGCTGCTTCATAACATCTGAGATGAGCCCCAGTGCTAAAATCCTTCACCCAGCACAGCAAACCCAGCTGGATGATGGGACCAGGGGAGAATCGGCACATGCTGCTGATGGACCATTTGAATGCTGAGTAGCAAATTGCTTAGCTCTCCTTTGGCTCCACCTGAACACACTGCTTCTGCTAGGGTTTATTTGCAGCATTTATCAAAAGTAGTCAGAATAATAGGTAAATCCTCCCAGCAGCCCTCCTACATGTAGATGTGGCACTTGGGGACATGGTTTAGTGGTGGGCTTGGCAGTGCTGGGTTCATGGTTGGATTCAATGATTTAAAGGTCTTTTCCAATCTAAATGATTCTACCAGCCCCAGCAAATGTGTCAGTTCTACAGCAGGGCAGAGCTGAAGCAGAAGGCTCCTTGATGGTGAGGATGATGAGGGGGATGGATGAGAAAGCTTTCAGCCAGGTTTCCACACCCTGTTACGGAGCATTTAGTGCCAGTGAATTTGAACCAGCCTTTTAAAACATCAGGTATCACCTGCAGTGAAAAGATACTGCCCTCGTGGGAGTATCAGCATGAATTAAGGTGGAAACTCCAGTATTTGTTTATGAGGTGGGTAGGGAAGCATCAGATAAAGTTACGTGAGACCTGCCAAGGAGATCAGATTTATCCTCCTAACCCGATGGCATAAAAGGAGTCTCATAGCCATTGTGTTCCCAAGTTGAATTCCCAGTGGCTGTAAAACCCAATCTGCCACCAAAGGGAGGAGATAAAGTGTTTTTAATAAGAAAACGAGCTACTTGCAATGCGCTTTTAATTGGATCAATTTCTCCTTTATTACACAATCTTTAAAGCCCAAACACATATGTATGACCAGACAAGCTCTTTCTCCAGGTAGAAAGCAGAAGCCAAACTATTTCATCACGCTCCTTAACGACTCCAGTTCATCTTGTCTGGCAAACGATCACAACACTGGAGGGGAGGGAACCAGGGTGAGAAATACAGCTCTGCAAAACCCCCTCACGGTCACTGTTGTGTTCTAGCAGGGGATGTGTGCACCCTGCGGGAGGAACAACAGGTTTTCAGGTCCTCCTTTTACCTCTTTTCCGCCTGAAAGCCAAGAGCAGGCAAAGAGCTGCAGGCGACACATAGCACCCCGAGGTGCCGATCGCAGTGTCCTGCCCCAGCAGTGCCTTGCAGGGTGGTGTGATTTCTCTTGGATCATCTGAGCGAGAAACAGATGACAGACGCTTTTGTTTGAACTGTGTAACCAGGAACAGGCTGGAGGAACCAACTGCTCAGTTTACTGGACCAGCTTTTCTGTCCCTTCAAGCACTCCAGGAGCTGTTATTGCTGGTAGTGTGATGTTTATTGCAAAAAAAAAGAGAAGAGATTAAATAGATCCATGCGGACAGAAAATGACGGAGGTACATATTAGCATAGATAATATTGCTTCAATTATTCAGGTCCATTGTAGCTTCCTGCTTGGAGCAGTTCTTGGAAACAGGAGAAATGTTGAAAAGAGATCAGTAGGACAGGAACTGCTATTGCTGTAACACTGGAAAAAATGCCTTGAGTTACAATATAATTAACTGCAGAAAGGCCTGGTAATAGCTGTCATGTCCCTAAAACATACATGCAAGGTGAGATCAGCTCCCCATATTGCTGTAACATACCTCAGGCAACTGCCCCTCCCACCCAAAAAAAGAAAAGCAAAGAATGCGAATACTGATGTGCAAGTTGGCAGCTTCAGCAAATGCAGGAGCAGTGCAGGAAAAGGGGGGGTTATCATAGAATCATTACAGAATCCCAGCCTGGTTTGTGTTGGAAGGGACATTAAAGCTCATCCAGCTCCAACCCCTGCCACGGGCAGGGACCCCTTCCACTGGAGCAGCTTGCTCCAAGCCCCTGTGTCCACCCTGGCCTTGAACACTGGCAGGGATGGGGCAGCCACAGCTTCTCTGGGCACCCTATGCCAGCGCCTCAGCACCCTCACAGGGAAGAGCTTCTGCCTAAGAGCTCATCTCAATCTCCCCTATTTAAGTTTAAACCCATTCCCCCTTGTTCTGCCCCTGTAGTGCATGGAGGGTTCAGTTCTCATGGGCTCCCTCAGCATCTCCCATGGGAGCGTCTTAGCTCCTGCTCCCTTCTCCACAACCTCTTTTCATCCTGTTATAGTAAGAGAAATAGGAAGATTCCCCAATGGAGGGGCACCCCCATCAGCTGAGTGTGTGTTGTGCTGGGCCTCTTCAGGGCTTTGGCTGAGCAGAACAGGGAGACGAAAGAAAACCCCACTAAAATCTGCTCCTAGCACTTCTACAAATGCCGTAAGTGCCAAACAACAGGCTGGAGCTTGCAGTGCCTCTGAAGCCGAATTAAGTTTGCTGTTTTAGGGGAAAGTATATGGGAGCTTAAAAAAAATCACTTGTTGCATCCATGTTGTAGCACAAGTAGCAAACAATTTGCTGTAGCATGGCAGTCACCATAAAATCAGCTTTTAGATTGTCTGTCATGCCCCCAAATTTGCAACTACATTGTTGATAGCAACAAATAAACACGCTGCAGTGTAACTATTATCTGTGGCAGATTAACATGCTACCACTGTGCCCTATTTAAATGCATCTTTCCTTCAATAAGCTATTCTGGGCAAGCAGCACCACACTGAGGTACACATTTATCAGCCAGGAGAGTAGCACTGTGGGGGCCTTGGTTCACACAGCTGCAGTTTTGTGCTTCATTTGGCCCAAAGCCGTGATGAACATGAACTCTGGAGCCTGCTGGTGCTGTAACAAAATGTATGTGAGGAATGTAGTGTTTTGCTGTGCAAGGGGGGGAAAAAAAGCAGTGCATCAATGGATGTGGTTCCAAGTATTAAAGAGAGAAAACAGTCCCCCCCTCCCCTCCTCATCTTGGCAGTGAGCAGCTTGCAGGTACAAAGTGCAGATGAGTGGAAGCCTACTGCTAAATGGAAGAGTCTGGAATGCAGAAAAATGAAGTGCAGGTGAATGTACAATATGTTGCATTGAATCTCATTTACTACAGACATATTTCCCCAGCTCTCCCCCCCCCCCCCCCAGTAAAGCTTTAGATACCAGACATACCTTCCAAAGCCAGTTTCCAGGATACATTTAACAAGAAAACAGTAAATATCAGCCACAGGTTCCCTCCCCCCTTGTATTTTTTCCTCCAGTTCCCTCCCTTTTTATCCCCTTCTACCTAACAAAACTCTCAGTAGTAATAAAAACCCTGTTGCCATCAGAGAGGGCAGTTCTGTGGCTCAGCTCAACCTCCCACGATTGCCCACTACTCACTTGATGTTGAACAGACACGGTTCACCAACAGCACCACAGGGGTGATCTCCTGAATACCCAAAAACCAGAGAGAAACCCCTCCCTTGTCAGTCTGAAAGCACAGTTCCATCTCCACGCAGTTTAAGAGGGCTGTTTCAGTTGATGCAGTGCTGCAATCAGAAATTGCTTTCCCAAGTAGTTGCCCAGACAACTGTTACCCAGCTCCTTGCGAGTTCCACAGCAAGGATTGCCTCTCTGGTTCTCTAAGGGAAGGTGATTTAGAGCAGTCAGTATTTATGGCACAAAGATACAACGGTTGAAGCTGGAAGTGTAGGTGATGTGGCGTAAGGAGGTGAGCAGGTTTATGGAGTGACCAGTCATTTAACAAGGAACCAATACTCCAGGATGGATCCTTTCCCTTGGCACTTGTTCTTTTTTTATTGTACAGATTTTATACATAAAACAGAAGAAGAAGCAGCAGACCACCACCACATAAGCTATTTTGTTTCTAAACACAAAACACAACGGCCTTTATGTTGATCCCCCTTTGGTTATGGCACCATCTTCCTGAATGCTTGACACTGGTTCCTGTCAGACTGCAATGAGGCTGGAAAAATCTCTGCTTAGAGACATGCCTTTAAGGGGTGGAGTATCTTCTCAGGTGGTAACTGTAGATCTTAATGCAGTGATCCCAACAGTCCAGCACCAGCAGCTGCCCTTTGGGAGTAATGGCAATACCAACCGGGCAGATGAGTCCTTCCCGGATTAAGATGTTATAGCCACCTCCTTTAGGAAAATGCAGGATTTCTTTACGGCTGCTGTCAGCAACAATGAGGTCCCCCCTGGCATCCACGCACATCCCAGCAATGCACCTGAAATCCTCATTCTCAGAGAAGAAGTGGCTAATCTGGCGTCCCAGCTGCCCATCTGGGCCAACAGAGCCAATTGAAAAGCCTCCTTCTAAATGATGCTCGTATTGCCGGTTCTCCAGGTTAAGCCCTAGCCCTTGGGTAAAGTATATGGTCCCTTCAGCATCGCAGGTGACAAACTTGGGGCGCACTGCACTACATAAGCAACTGTACTTCACTACCCCCACGCCACGGTCCACTGTGAAACACCAGAGTTTGCCTCCTTCCACATCAGTCACTACGAACTGGCCCGAAGGCAGAGCAGCGATGCCCCAGGGCTTGCTTAGCTGGCTCCGGTGACACGCCACGCAATGGCCATCCATGGTGTAGACCTTGAAAGAGTTATCGTAGCTGTCGGTCACACCTATGAGGCCGTGGCAGTTCATGGTGACAGAAAGAGGTGTCAAATTGGGTAAGTCTGCTCCAAGGAAACTCAACACAAAGCTGTCGATTCCGCTGGGGCTCCGGCGGATCTCCTTTAGGAAGCCCTTGCGGGTAAAAACCTGGATTCGGAAGTTGCCTCTGTCTGCAACAAGCACCTCGCCCTGCAGGGTGACATGTAGGCTGACGGGGAGGTTAAACATCCCTGGCAGGCTGCCCTTGGAGCCCATCTTCCTGATGAAGTGACACTGCTGGATGCTCGTGGCTGCTTCAGGCATCCTTGGCTTGGCTGGGGAGGAACTGGGCGTGCAGCTGGGCTCCTCTTGCACCAACTCGGGCTCCCTGAATGATGCCGATGAGGATGCAGCAGTTTCCATGAGGGATTCCTCCACGTTAACAGTGCGGGGCTTCTTCACCACCTGCCCAATCTGCAGTGGTCCCACATGGCTCACCTTCAGGAGTTCAACCTCTTGAAGAGTCAGCTCTCTTGGAAGACTGTTTGTCAGTTCTGGTTCTTCCTCATCTGCTGCCTCCTCTAAGAGGGCTATATCTCCCTGCTTGATTTTGGCAAGGAAATAGTCACAGCGAGACATGATCTGCACTTCTGCTAAGTTCAGCAGATAAGCTTGCTCCTCCATGACCTGGTTATTTACCTTCTCCACCTCTGACAAAGAGCTAGTGAAGAACTTGCGTGACCTGGCCAGTTCCTCCTGGATCTTGCGCTCTTCTTTGCTGTAATCTTGCAGAACTGCTTTGTATCTAGATTGCAGGTCTCTTGAAACACCTTCCAGAGATGCTTTTCTTTTCTGCAGATCACCCATGAGCTCCCGAAGTCTGGCAAGCCTCGTCCCAAATTCCCTCCTACGCTCTTCAGCAGCCTCTTTGATAGCAACAACTCTATGTCCTTGAGGCATGTGTGATGACTCCTTGCAGGGCTCACATAAAACCAAGCTGCAGCTCTTGCAGAAGTGTCTTGGCAACCTTCTCCCACAGACCTTGCACATGAGAAGACCCACTGCTTCCCCCAGTCCAGCGGTGTCGATGATTTTCAGCACAGTCAGGTTGTCAGTCATCTGAGCTAAGCTTGTGATCCGTGTGATTTTGCTGCAGAAGGGGCACCGGATCCCATTAATGCTGTTTGCCAGGAGCTTCTCCAAGCACTGTTTGCAGATGGTGTGCCCACAGTGTAAGAGCTTGGGTCTCAGGTGCTCCTCAGTGAAGGACTCCATGCAAATGGGGCACTCCAGGACCTCTCGGAGTGCATCTGAGTTGAGATGAGGGGCGGCAGCCATGGCGCTCCAAGGCAGCTTTACCCAGCACAAAGTCTTCTTCTCGCATCTATTCCAAGGTGCTCCAATTCTGTCCAGAGAGAACAAAAAAGGAAATGTGATTTATGTCATCAGTTACATATACATGCAATTCCTTTCTGATTTATCACCCAGCCCTGGAAAAAAAGCAGCCCAGTTAGCATTGCCACCTTTGGAAAGGATGAATTAGTCATAGCTAATCTCAGAGTAGGCAAATTCCAAACCCAACTTGCAGCTCCTGGTGTGATGAACTATTCACTCGAAAAATTTCTAAGTAGAACAGAAAGAAGTGTTAATGGCAGCAATAAGGAAGCCCAATAGATATTGATGACTGAATCATCTCCTCATGGTGCCCATCTCCTGCTGCCAAGCCTCTGAGTTTCCATAATTTACTGAAACCCAGGGAGATTAAACCAAGCATTCAGAATGCTGCGCATCCAAAGAGGAACCAGATGGTGCAACGCTTGAGGACATTAATTTATCACCTCTGGAGACCTGCATTCAGATGTGACATCGGGAACTAACAAAACAAATGTGGTTGCTTTACTCCTCATTTTTTTTCTAGATAGCCAAAATAAATCCTCAAGGCTTCGTCGAGTTGCCAGGAAGGGAAACTAGGAGGGATGATCTGTCAGCTTCCACTTGTTCTGGGAATGACTGTACATACTGAAAGCAAACAGTGAAGATTCGATGCCAGTGTTATTTCTTTAACCTCTGCCACCCAGCATCATGCTCCAGCATGCCAATTAAACACAGCTCCATGAGGAATAGCGGGAATTAGCACTAATGGAGCTAACAGAGGACTCCAAGCATTTGTTAATACGAACCCTAAGTGCTCTCCGTTAGTTCCTGAACTTAGCTTAACTGCATAGAACGTCTCCTGGTTTCAGGCTCGCAGCATTGACCTCATTCTTGCCTTCTGGTTCAGTTTTCCAGCACTCTGGTTGCCATTCAGCTTCAATCCAGGTTTCTCCACCCTCACCTCCCTCCCAGCAGGGAGCAGATCCCCCTGAAGCAGCCGTTCAAAAGGAATAGAACAGGGGTCCCATCATTAAGTTGTTATTCAGTAGACTGAGTTTCAATAGCGTTGCTATTGCATGGCTTAGCTATTAAAAGCAATGGGGAAGGAAACGTTTCTTGTAGGGGAAGAGGAGGGGAGGGAAGGAGTCAGTCTTTAAACTGAAGAGCTGGGCACAGAGGGATGCGGACAGGCACCTTGTCCTGAACTATGGCTGCATGCACGGAGCATCTTCGCTTCCCTGCTGCGGGTTTGCCAGCTTCACCCTTGGGAGCACTTCCAACAGAAAAGTTCAGCTTCCCATTGGCTCAAGTGGGAGCAGGCAACTGCAACAAAGAGAAGTTCTTTCTGTTCACGCCGAGAGTTACACAACTCCTTTTAGTCCTTTAAAGCCTGTTTCAGGAGGAGATTCAGCGGTGCAGCAGCTCGGATCCCACGCTGGGATCCGATCCCTGGCTCAATGAGCACAGGAGCAGGGACATGCTTGGCACTTGCTGCTGCTGAATGCTCTTCCCTTTTCTTCTTGGCTCCTGTCTCAGGCAGGGAAGCAGAAGCCTGGGCTCTGTAGATCAGAAACCATCCTCTGAGGATGGAGAAATCTGCATTTTAAAACTGCAACACAGGGTACCAGCTCCATTATTCTTATTTTCCTTGGAAATGTGTTGGAAGACTTGCTTAGGGGAGGATGAGGGAGCAGCACGGATACCAGATACAGGGAATGACATAAAATACACGTGAAATACATCAAAAACTAGCTTTAAAGCAACTATTCTCATTCAGGAATCAACGACAGAGGGGGTTTTATTGAGCTTTAAGTTCAGTTTGTAGGAAGACGATTTGTCCAAGATTCTTTCCATACATTTCCTTGGCATGCCAGCACGCACCTTAGCAACATTATGTTAACTTTACTGCTGCACTTCCCTTTCTCTTGTGCCCCGATGGAAGTTTGTTCTTGTGTGTCCCTCATGCCACTGACGCCGAGCAGGGGCTGGGGGAAGCCTCAGCCCTGGGTCAGGCTATCACCTCGGTGCATTGCATGAGGAGGTAGACCCAAAGCGATTTCCTGCTGTAGTTTCTCCTCTCCCTTTAGTTTTCACCTACCGTGCGCTGGGAGGCGCCTGGATTTGACCGCGGGGGTCACCCACCCCTTCAAACGCTCGGGGATAGCAGCAGGATCTGCTCGGGGGGGGCTCCGGCGGTGCTCGGGGCTCACCCCCCCGCCTCAGCAGCGCAGAGGCCGCGGCTCGTCCCGGTGCTGTCAGCGCAGCCGGCCGCAGGGCCCAACCGCGCTCACTCTCCCTCCACAGCCCCACCGCGGCCTCCACAAGGGCTCAGCGGGGCGGACCCACCCCGGTGCGGCCGCCCCAGGGGCTCCCACCCCATGGAGCCGCGGCCCGGCCCCGGGGCACCGCAGGCCGAAGGACGGAGAAGGGGTCCCGGCCGCCGCCACGTCCCGCCCCGCCTCTAGGGGGCGCCACCGCGTCCCGCCCATGGTGCTCCCTACCTGCCCGCAGCTCCCGGGACGCTCGCGCGGCTGGCCGGCGTGCCCCGCGCGTTGACGTAACGTGCGTGACGCGACGGGACGTAACGTGCGCGGGGGATGGAGCGCGGAGAACGACGGGAGATGGAGTCCTAGGTGGAGGCTGCGGAGCGGGGCCGGGAGGGAGGAGCAGGGGAGGCCGAGGGGATAGGGGGGAAGGAAGGGGGGTGTTAACAGGGTAGGGAGCTCGGTAGGGGCCGGAGTGGGGCCGCAGGGTGGTGATGGGGCTGAGTCTGCCGCCGCCTGGGGGCTGGAGTTGGGGACCTGCCTGCATAGGGCGCTCCCGGCTCGGCCAGGCACCCCGTCCTGCTGCTTGTGATGTGCGGGGACGGTAAAAGCAGACAAAGGGAAAGGATGGACTCGATGAGTTTAAAGGTGTTTTCCCAACTAATTGATTCTAATTGATTATTTTCAACAGGTACTGTAGCGATAGGACAAGGGGCAATGGGTTCAGACTTAAATGGGAGATTGGAGATGAGCTCTTAGGCAGAAGCTCTTCCCTGTGAGGGTGCTGAGGCGCTGGCACAGGGTGCCCAGAGAAGCTGTGGCTGCCCCATCCCTGGCAATGTTCAAGGCCAGGTTGGACACAGGGGCTTGGAGCAAGCTGCTCCAGTGGAAGGGGTCCCTGCCCGTGGCAGGGGTTGGAGCTGGAGGAGCTTTAAGGTCCCTTCCAACCCAACCCAGGCTGGGTTTCAGGGATTCACTGTTCTTGGTTTATTCTATGCTGGTCCTTGATGATCCAGCCCCTTCCCATCTTCTACCCTGCAGCGGGGCCCTGAGCACTGGTCACGTTTTCAACTGGCCGTTGAAAACTCATCTCTTGGTCCATTCCCAGTGTGTTGGAGCAGCCCGTCGGGACAAAGAGACCTATTTTGAGGTAGAGAACAGCAAACGTAATCAATTGATTGGGAGAGACACATAAATATTGTCAGTGACATAAATATGGGCATTGGCAGCTGTGGTTGGTTGTGAGAGGACCCGCTCAGAGCACGTCCTGGTTCATACAATGACACCTTTATTGCAGTGCTGGCTGGTGGTTGGTGCTGCTGCTGTGGCACAGGCAGGAAGCGATGGGGAAATGGAGTGGGTTTGGGTTTGCCCTCGATCAGAGGAGAGCTTGTGCTGCCTGGTCATTGCCTCATCTGCTCATGCTGGGAGGCAGCAAAAGGTGATCTCTCCAGCAGTCGCTGATCATAGGATCATTGATCATAGAATTACAGATCATTGATCATTTCCCTTCTGCTTCCTTCATCCTTCTCTTTGTTCTTCCAGCCTCAATTTCTGACCCCCTGCCCATCAAACAGGCTCTGTGCTGCCTGGGGGCTGGCAGCAGCGGTCAGAGGCAGGGGTTTAGCTCCGCCCTGGTGTTTCTTGGGGTCATGGTGATGCAAAGGACACTGGTAACAGTGGGTCCTGTTCACCCTCGGCTTTCACTTGGCCATCACGAGACTGCTCTATGGTGGGATAGCCCAGTTTACTGTGACCTGGGGTGTGTGCACAGCACATCAGGAATATCAGGGCTTAGGGCTTTCCCTGTGGGAGTAGGGAGAAGCAAGGCTTGGGCAGGCAGGCCCATGGGAGCCGTGTTCTGAGCACCCCACTGCTGCCAGCATCACTGCTGGTCCCAGTGGTACCCAGGCAGTATCCAGAATAGAGTAGGAATTAGGGAATGGCATGGGATAGGATAAAATGAAATGGAATTGAATGGATTAGGCTAGAATAGAATGGAATAATTCAATTGGAAGGGATCTACATCCAAGCAGGGATCAAGAGCAGCAGTGATCAGGAGCAGCAGGCATCAGCAACATGGGCAGCAGATGCACTCAAAGGCAGCAAGAGCAGAGGCAAACCCTGAGCGGGGCTTCAATGGGTGAGGTTTATGGTCTCCTATTTCATGCTGTGCTCCAGACCCTGAGCAAGAAACTTCAGCAGGGTGCTCCAGCAGTGCCGTGGGCGTGTTGCAGTGTCCCAGAAGGGGACAAGGGGTTCACTCCTGGTTCTTGGCATCTCCACGGGAATGTGCTTTCAGCCGCTGATGTATTTTCCATGGAATAAAAGTGGATATAAGCACTGAACCAGGGTGTTCTGGTGGATTTCTGAGGTCACCCGCACCTGGAAATGAACAGTGTGAAGAAAAAATAACTATAGGAGTAAGGAAATAAGCTTTTAATGCATCTTGGGGTGGAAGCAAAGGACCATCAGGATTTAGTTGGAGGTGGTGACAATGAGCTGCTGATGCTAACCAGCATGTACAGTATGGGGACACTGTGCCATGAGAAGGAAGGGTGGGGAGGCTGGAACCCCAGTCACCCTGGCATTTCGGGGGGTACTGCCCACACTGGTGGCCAGCCATCCAACCAGCAGGACTTGGGACATCTCAGCCATCCCATGGGAAATGGACAAGAGGAGGGAGCCAGCTGCTGGTACAGGGCTAACACAGCAGCCCATGGGGTCCAGAGCAGCAGTCTGGGGGATCCTGGGACCATCCTTGTGGGGCTGTAGTGGCTCAGAGGCAGGGGCACGAGCAGTGGGGTGCTGCCAAGGGTTGGTTGGATGAGCAGGGCAAGGCTTTGGTTGCTCTTCCAGGCAGTGAGGGCTATGCAGGGCCTTTGATTCCTGTGATGAAGCAAGCTCACCGGTGATGCCTGCACCGTCCCCCTTTGTAGGGGTTAATCAATGATCTCTGAAAGCTCTCTTGACCTTTTCCTTTAGTACCACAGGCTTGCAAGTCTGTAAATGTCTCACCTGAAACTGAGGTTACTGCAGAGCCTGCTCATCTGACCTGCAGAGGAGATGGTCTGCCTTTGGATTCTCCTTGCTGGTACCTTCGGGATCACCCCAGGGCAGTGGGAATCCCATGGGCACACAGGGGTCCTGTGGGCCACTGAGCCACAAGCACCATGGCACAGCTCATCAGCCACTGCTTGTACTGGGTGTTGGGGCTCTGAGAGTGTGCAGGGTTCTGTGTTTAATTGCATTAGGTTAATCAGCAGGGAGAGGGGGGCAGAGGCAGGAAGGTGGTTGCGACTCTCCAGACATAAGAGGGGGAGAAAAGTGGTCACAAACCATCACATTGAGGAGATCATCACTTGTGGGCGCTCAGGCTGTTCTGGATTTGTGTTGCCAGGCTCATCATGCCAAGGCCGGAGCTCCATGCAGGATGAGGTCCCATCGGAGGGGCTGTGGGGTGGCAGCAGCAGAGCGAGCCGTGGTGCATCTCCAGCCCGAGAGCCATCCCCCCGCGGTGCCACGAGAGGGCAGCAGGTCCTCACGGACCGCAGTGGCCACAACTGCCCCGCTGCCACGCATGGCAGGTCCCATAGCACCCCAGTGCCACCCCTCCAGCCGCTCCGTGGGCTCAGCCGAGGTGTCCCATGCACACACATCTGGGGTTGCTTATGAGCATCAGCGTGTGCCCTTCTGGGGTGTGCACAGGCTGTGGTCATGCCTTCACCCAGGCTTCCACACGGGATGCTGTGCCATGGGGTGGTGGCATTCCCTAAATGATGGGTGGCAGTCCATAGGTGAATCCTCCATGGGACATGGCATTGGTGGTTTGGCACAGCCAGCCTGAGCTGCTGTTGGTGTGGCATTTCCTGGGCAGCAGCAAGGGCTGGCACTGTGCTTCTTGCACCCATGGGTGCATGTGTGATAGTAGAGCACTGTTGGCTCCCCTAGACATTACACCAACACCTCCTTTGCAGTCCCAAGCAGTGTTTTCCCATCACGGACAGTGGGCAGCATTAAATCTGTTCAGGCTCTTTGCAGCCCTGGGGGTTACAGCACTGACAATACCTCACTGCAAGAGAAACTCCCAGGCAAACACAAGGATTGATTTTCTTTCTAAGTCCTTTCTGATGGATTTGCCAACGAATGGGGTATTCTTCCACCAGGTAATAAATAGGCAGCCTGTGCCAGTGGATGTGTGTTGGCTGTAAATCCCCTCTGCCCTGCCTGTGGTGGCACTAGGGCAGAAGTGGACCAAAATTGCCTCTTCCATACATGGAACGCAAAGCCCAGGTCCTAAACCAGGGCCAGATGAGCAGCCCATCAGTGCTGGTGGGGTTAACCTGCTGAGCCTGGAGGAATCCCCACCTGGGTCTATTCCTGACATTCCCTCTGCAGCTTCAGCTCTCCTCTCCTTGTTCCAAGCTTTTTCTGCTGTTCAAGAGCTACCACATCCTACCCCTGATGTGGCTGCATACTTGTGGTAAGTGGAGTGATTCCCAGTTTTGGAATGACTTGGGATCTTCTGGAGGAGGTGCTGTATTAGAATGCTGGACCACTGGCAAGCCCTCCATCTTCTGGGAGCTCTCAAGACAAACTCCAGTACGAAGGATTAGGTATTGTGCTGTTGTTATTGTTATCACAGTGGTGTTATGGTGCTTCCCTCTTGTCCAGGCACTAGGAGGTGCTACTGGAAGTATTTCCTCACATCTGCAACTGCTGCATCCCGAGCAGGGACCCCTGCACAGACAGTCACCTCATGCTGTGGGGTTATAAACCCTGATGGAGCCCAGAGCCAGGCCGGCGAGTGGTACCTCTGCACACTCTGTGCTGCTCATCCTCTCTCAGGCCAGGCTTGACACTTGGCAGAAGCTGTTATTTTACTTGTTGTGTTGTGTGTGCTGTTGTTGGTTGTTTTTCCCCTCTTTCTTTTAAATACATGTTTCAGGCAAACAAACTAATAACTCCCACAAGTTGCCGTGATGCATCTAACCACATCCGCGGCCCTACGCTTCCAAACAGATGTTGCCAGAATCCAACTGAGTCACCAGAGAAAGCATGTTCAGATGCAAAGGCTGATAAGGAAGCCCTCTTATCCCCACTGCTGCTGCAGCTCCTGCAGCCAAGCCTCATCCTCCTGCCAGAACAGGACCTTTGGAGCACCCAGCAGCAGTCACCTGCAAAGCTCTTCCCTAGGAGTAAAGCAGAGGTTTTGCAAGAGCAATTTGACTGCTTTGGGACGTTGTCCAGTTCTGGATGGGGCTTGTGCAACGTGGATCTGAACCCTAAAGCTGGATTTACTTAACCTGGACTGGGCCCATCTTGGCAGCTCGAGATGGCAGCACAATGGGAGGGCAGAGCAATGGGATGTCGCAGGGTCTGGTTCTGATTCGCTCTGATCCAATAGCAAATATTCCTTTGGCCTCACCAGGAATAGGCTCGGGCTGCCCATGTTTTGTTCCAGAAGCAGCCGTTCAGCTGGGCCTCAGCACTGATGGGTGCTGTACAAGGACTTAGGTAACCAAAAGAGAGATTGGGCCCCCAGGTTTATATGTGATTGCTCCTCTTCCCCGTGCAGAGAGCAGGCTGGTCCTTGAGCACTCTCCTTGCAGGCAGGCAGCTGAGCAGGAAGCCAGAGCTCAGAGGTAGGAAAGAGGGGCCCAGATCCCTTCTCCTTGGGCTACAGTTGCAATGGCAGGTCTAGGAATAAAGGAGTGTGTTTTAGGGACAATACCTCCCAGGTCTGAACCCTCTCCAAGATGCCGTGAGTGGTGGGTGATGTGGTTGGGAAGAGAAGGAAGCACAGTCTCCATCAAGATCACTTTCTTTCTAGGGATGAGGCACCTGGAGCTGATGCTTTCCACCCTGTCAGCAAGCAGATGAGGAGCAGGTCCTCCTCGCTGCCTGTCCTCAGCTCTGGATCAGCTGGATCCCAAGCAGGGTGTGCAATTGGCACTCTCACATGGGTTTTGGTAGCAGAAAGGGGGTGAATATTTTGTCAGGGCTGGACTTAAGCCCCCAGAGCTCCTTGCACAACCGCTATGAGGATCTGCTCTCCAGTGCTGATGACTTCCAAGTGCTTGTCTGTCTGAGAGCTGGCAGCAAAACCCATCTCCCTCTGCTGAGCCACATCCTGTTTCATCTTCCTCCTTTGGAGGTGCACCCAGAGCCTTTTCATCACAAGGGAACACTGCGTATCCCTTGCCAGCACACTGAACCTGTAAGCTCAGCTCCAGTAGCACCTTATATCCCCAGCTTGTAAGGATGCAAAGGAATCCTTTTCCCTAAAGTAACTGGGGCTTCAGCTGTTACAAAGAGGATTAAACACAGAGATTTCCACCTTACCTGTGAAGTCTTCCATGAGGCACAAGGCTCCATGGTTAATCTTATGTGGCTGAGTGCGTGGCTGTATGGAAAGGGAGCTGTGCTACTCAGTTTTCTGCCTGACTTTGAGTGTATATGAGACTATATATGAGTTATATATGAGTTTTTTGGTATAAGTTTATATGAGACTTTGTGCAGCACCATTTGATGACTGCTGCTCCTGAAATGCCTTTGCTCCATCTGGGTTTCCTTCAGGAGACAGGAGGAACCATTGCTTTCATGCCAGTCCCTTTGGAGAGCTCATGAAACAATCAACCCCAGGTACAGCGCCCTTTCCTAGGGTACAGGGTACTTGCCCCAGCTTGCTCCTTGCAAAACCAGACTGTAACTGAGGAGGACCAAGGGAAGTTACTCTTCTTGCTTATTCATCCCACTCCTTACTGCTTGTTTGCACTCAAAGAGCCCCTGAGCCCCCACATGCATTGAGTGTCCTGTGCTTCAATGCAGACATGGAGGGAAAAGGACAGGACAGGTAACTTGGAAGGGAGCCTCCAATGAGGCTTTCCCAGAGTGATGCTCTAGGAGCTGGACCGCACTGCCCATCACCCTGGGGCTTCTTCCAGGTGCTGGTGGAAGCCTGTGTGTGTGATTTGAACAGTGATTGTCAGAAAGGCTGGAAACTCTGTGCCACATCTCCAGACAAGCCTTGGCTAGGTTTAGGCTAAGCCATAGCCTGTGTTAAGGTCACATCCAGGCGTTTGATGCAAGTAGTCCAATTCTTATCTATAAAGCCAGTATTTCAGAAGGGAAGGTTTGATACCCTATTGCCAATCATGAGATAACTGAGTCCACGTTCTCTTCAGTTCTGTGTTCACGTTCTGCCTTACAGCTTGGCTCCAAAACTTCTTTCCCCATGGAGGATCTCCAAAATCACTGCTTCAGCTCTGGTGAAGAAGCTCTGCAGCCTGGAAGTGTCATTGCCATCTCCTTTCTCTTCTACATGTAGTTCAATAATGATGTTAAAAACGTGTTCTCCAGAAGCAAGAAGAGGTCCATGGCATCACCTTGTAGCTTCCCTCGTTCTGAGCCACCCAGTTTATCTGTCAAGGCTTCATGGTTTCCCCTTATGAGGCTTGAAACTGCCTGGAGCTGCTCTTCTAGAAAACAACCTCTCCAGGAACCAGCCCCAACTCTCATTTTCCATGTCTCTGTGCACCAGTGTCTCTAGATGATGAGACATCTCCTCACTGTCTTGTTTTGATTTATCTTAGCAGCTGCCCCCCTTTTATTCCACTGAAAGATGGAAATTTGCTTGTTCTGCCCCTGACAGCTTTGACCCAGAACGCAGAAGCGCTCCCTGTCAGCCAGGCAGCAGGGGAGGCTTGCCCTAGCCTGGAGCCCATTGGGAGTCATGAAGGAATACTGTGTTTACTGGTATTCCTGATTGACTAGTGCCTTGCCACATCAGCTGCGTGTCATTGCGAGCCAAGGGCACTGAGGCATTCCTTGTTCTTCTGCAGCTCCATCATGGGACTGGGATGGTGTTGCTGGAGGCAGCAGCCATCCAGTTCATGGTGTTGGAAGCCTCATCCAGCTCATGGTGTTGGGAGCTTCATTTGGGCACAGGATGGAGAAAAGCTTTTCTCCTCCAAGCCCCTCACCAGGTTATGAAAGTTGGGCTCGCCTTGGATCAACCCAAGAGGAGTCTACAGATGAAGGGTTTAAATAGAGGTGCACAGGATGGAGATGGGAGTCAGGGTAGCACCAGGGTAGCACCAGGTGGTGTACTTTGACCTTAGCGAGTGTTTGGACCAAGCCAGAACAAAGTAAGGCTTTCTTGGGTTCATTGCTTTGTGATTGAGACCACTAAGAAGTTTCACAATGGGTGAATTTCAAAGGGGTGAATAGTTCCTGAAAGCAGCATATTGACAGTTCGGGTTTGGTAATGCCTCCATCTCTTCCTATGTGGTGAGTTCGTTCCCATACCCATCATACCCTCTGCCTAGGGGCTCCGTCCATCAGTGCAGTCTCTTTGCATCCTCGTTTGGTTCCATCTCAGTGTCCTGGATAATGTGTCACCCAAAAGAGAGAGCTAAAGATCACAGAGAGAGGCCTGATGTTGGGATGAGGGTTGGGAGCACTCAGCCGCTTGCCCTGGTCCCTTTGGAGTGTTTCCCTTTGGCAGGTAAGATATACTTGGGTTTCATTTTGAAGTACAGAAGGTGCGTAAGTAAGTTACAAAGAAGAAGGAGAACACGGTCAGTCTGTCACTGTAGAAGTGCTTGTCTGTGCTCACGCTTCCTACCCATTCCCAAGCAGTGACCTGCAAGTCCTGTTTTTCTCTCCTTGACCTTTCTGGTTTCCTGCAGCCACCTGGCCTCCAGCACCTCCAGCAGCTGCGTTTATCCTGGCTGCAGCAGAGCTTGGCTTCGGGAATACGCCTGTGCTGAGCATTATTTAATGTTGTTTGCTTTCTTCCCTCTCCCCGAACCAGAAACAACGGAGCTCGGGAACAAGAAGGAGTTGAAATCCATGCCCTTCATCACCTATCTCTCAGGCCTGCTGACGGCTCAGATGCTGTCCGATGACCACCTCATCTCTGGGGTGGAGATTCACTGCGAGGAGAAGGGGCGCTGCCCATCCACTTGCCACTTGTGCCGGCGCCCTGGCAAGGAGCAGCTCAGCCCCACGCCGGTTCTGCTGGAGATCAACCGCGTGGTGCCTCTGTACGCTCTGATCCAGGACAACGATACCAGGGAGGTGAGTGATGGATCCTGCTTTAGTCACCCCTCGCTTTGCCTTCCTCAGGCCCTGCACAGGTTTAGGCACTAGGTAGTAAGTCTTTATTATGAGGGTGGCGAGGCACTGGCACAATAATGGTGGTAAACACTGAAGTTCCTTCTCTTTGCATATATGTCCACATAGGTAACTATAGACACGTACAGAGGGAAAGCAAGGTCAGTAATAAGGTGGATATGAACATCTATAAAGTATGCTGAAAGTATTACATATATTTACATGTATTTTACATATTGCATATATTTATATATATTTACTGTTAGGGTGGTGAGGCACTGGAAGGGGTTGCCCAGGGAGGTTGTGAATGCTCCATCCCTGGTGGTGTTCAAGGCCAGGTTGGACAGAGCCTTGGGTGATATGGTTTAGTCTTAGGTGGCAGGGGGATTGGAACTGGATGATCTTAAGGTCCTTTCCAACCCAAACCATTCTATGATTCTATAATGATTATATATATATATATATATATATATATATCATGTATTTCCATCCAGCAGAGATGAGGCAAGACACAGGTAAAGCATTTTGTCTACTTTGGTTTGTGTGGGTTTGTCTTCTCATCTGCCCCAATGCAGTGAGTTGCCTTTTAAAGCTTACAGCTACCGCCCAGTACAATTCTGTGCTCTCAGTTACCAGGCTCAAGTGCTGGGGTTTCAGTTTCATGCTGGGTGTCTGCCTTGGGCTGATTTGTGGTGTTTCTGTGTGGGCATGTTTGATTTCAGCTTTAAAACTGACCATTTCCAAGAGGGAGATAGGTGAAAATCCATTGCTTTGCCCACGTGAATTGCGTTGGAAAACCCTTTATTTCCATGCCATTGGGAACTGCTGTTTTCTCCTTGCTTTTGAAGCAAGGGCTTGAAATTAGAAGGGCTTCAGGAGTCAGGTTTTGCCTTTTGTTTCCCAAACAACATTTGTTCAGAGGCACTTGTGCTGTGTAAGGAAACCCTTAACTGTGTGTGATGAGCAGGGATTTGGTCTGCCTTCCCAGTGCTGCCCAAGCATCGCTCCCGCTCCCAGTAGTGGGAAGGAGCAGTGGATCAGGGCACTGCCAATGGTAATACTCCCTCTTTTCCTTCATTCAGGCACTGAGAACTACAGACTGAGCTGTGCTAAGAGGTTTTTCTCTCTCTCCTGTGGTTTAACAGCATTGGTCAGATTACTTGCATGGTCACTGTTAGCTGTATCCTGGCTGGGGACTTTGGCAGTGCTGGGCAAGGACCTCCCCATGGTCAAGGAAATGTGTTTGACAGTCCAAGCACCTTTTAAGGGGCTTTGTTGAATGGCTTCTTCATAGCTGACATGGCTGTGGGTGGGAGGTTTCACAGGGAAAGGGCTGCTTTTGGGAACAGAGGCAATGATGGAGCCCTCTCTCCACTGCTCCTTGTGGGATTAAACTAGCCCAAGTAAGTTTATAGCACCATTGCTGTTTATAGCTCTTGTGGGGTTTTCTGGTGACAAAATGCCCCCAGCACCTCGAGAGCAGGATGCTGTTGAGTGCATGTGATGGGAGAGAAAAGAGATGTGGTAACCCTGGCTGGTTTCCACTTAGTGAACATCCTGGAGCCAAAGGAGAGGACAGCCAGGTTGTGGTGGCCTTACTCCTCCACCATCAGATATTGCTGCCTGCTCTCACCCCATGGGATGGGCAATGGACTTACCATAGCCCTGGTGTCCACCAAGAGGCGTGGGCTGAGCAAGTGAGGTCTCAGGTTTGCCCATTCTGCAAACCCCCATGTTCCCTGGCTGAGCTGCAGGAAGGTGAATGGACAGCTAACCCTGAGGGGCACTGGGAGGAGCAGGGATGCCCAGTTCTGGGCTCCTCAGCACAAAAAAGATGAGGAGTTACTGGAGAGGGTCCAGAGGAGGCCACGGGGTTGCTCAGGGGTCTGGAGCATCTCTGTTACGAGAGACTGTGGGAGTTGGGCCTGATTAGTATAGAGAAGAGGAGCCTGAAAGGGGATCCCATCAACGCAGATCAGTATCTCAAAGGTGGGTGCCAGCAGGATGGTGCCAGACTCTTTCCAGTGGTGCCCAGTGACAGGACAAGGAGCAATGGCCATAAGCTAACACACAACAAGTGTCACCTCACCATGAGCAAGAACTTGTTTCCATTGAGGGTGGCAGAGCCCTGGCACAGGCTGCCCAGGGGGTTGTGGAGTCTCCCTCTCTGGAGCCATCCCAAACCCACCCTGGACACGTTCCTGTGTGCCCTGCTGTGGGTGGCTCTGCCCTTGCAGGGGGCTGGACACGAAGATCAGAGGTCCCTTTAACCCTAATGGTTCTATGAAACCCGAAACAAACTCAGAGCTGCTTTAGCAGAGCAGCTTCTCCAGCTGCAGAAGTGCTTAGGGGGTGGTGTGCTGAGGGGGATGCGGGGAAGTGGGGCAGCAGAGATCAATCTCGCTCCTAGTGGGAAATGGATTCAACCCCCTGTTGTTTGTATTTAAGGAGACAAATGGATGTGGAGCCTGGATTTTAGGAGACCCCCAGGACCTTGATTTAATTCGAGACTTGAGTAATCTCAGCATCTGCCTGCAGCCACGGCCCCCTCACAGTGTGGAGGCTCACTGGGGGACACATCCCCACACTGCCAGCCCCATTGGCCTCGGCAGGAGCCCGACACATGGCTGGGACACTGGCAGGGCTCTCAGCAAGAACTGCTTTGCTGCCTGTGCAGGGACCATTGTCTGCTTGTGCCCCATGCACTGATGATGATGGAGCACGTGTCCTTCCTCTCCTGGAGCAGGCTTGCTGCTCATACAGACCATGGCAAGGTGGTGGTGCTGGTTTCAGAGGGAGCTGCACAAACCAGTGTCACTTTTCCTTCTGGATGCAGCCCATCTCTGTGCCCTTGCTGCTCACTTGCTCTGGTGGCTGTGTTTCAGCCAAGGGGAGAAATGTAGCTGGTTCTGATGTCTTCTGTTGGTTCTTGGTCAGTTCTTAGGGTCACAGTTGTCTTGTGATTGCTGTTGGAAGGCACAGTGTGATGGAGCCGTGCCCTGGCAGTGTACTTGGAGCTTTTCTGTGCATTTATACCAACCCTGAATTACCAGGATGGAGAGTCTGAAGGATCCACAATGGGGTGAAACGTGCCCATCATACCTCCAGCAATGCTTGTCCATAAAGGTGGTGGGGAGCCCACACTGTTCAGTGCAGACTGGGCTCACCATTGTGGCTTGGAGTATCCAAGTGTATTGCTGGTGCTGTGACCCCTCACTTTGGCATTGACATTGCCCTCAAGGGCACAGCAGATGGAAAAGAGCACAGCTGGGAAATGCAGGATCCTGGTGCTGGCACCCCAAGACCCTCTGCAGCAGGAACTGACCTTGTTGGGCAATGTCTGGGCTTTGCTGCTGGTCTTGCAATCACAGCTGTGCCTGGGAGAGGAGCCCTTGACTCTGTTGGGTGAACATTGTCCCTGCAGCCATCCCCGTTCAGCCCATAGGGAAGCAAATCTCCATTGTGTGAGTCCGGAGATGTGCTTGGAGATTGGTCCTGGACTTGGGCAGCACCAGGGCAAACATGAGCCTGAAGGGGAGGGATGCGGGAGCTGAGGCAGAGGCTGGAGAAGTCAAACTGGGACTCATTTCTCAGGGAAGTTTGGCTGTACCCCTTGAATCCCATTCAGGAGGGTGGATATCTGGGCCCTTCCCATTGCCCTGTATCTCAAAGCTACTTCTGATGTCCTCTGCCTATGTGGGTCCAGCAAAAGATAGGTGAAGTTTTGCAGGAGGCTATGGTGACAAGGTGAAAGGCATCCCCAAGGCCACAGGCTCACTTTGGCCCCTTATGCAGCACCCAGAGGCCAGCATTCCTCCCTGCACACACACAGCTTCCCTAAAGCAGCCCCTGAAGGCGTGGAGAGCCAGTGCCAGGGATTTCATTTTCCACCTCCAAAGATGAAAGGGAGCCAGGGCGAACGGCGACACTGTGGAGGTGAATGCTTTGGTCTGGGGTCTGTGTGTGTGTGGGGGGGGGTTGTTTGGTTGTGCTTTGGTTTAATATCTGCTAATTGGCCCTTATCCTCCTCCTTGCACTCGAGCATCCTGCTGCAGCTCCAGCCCACATCCGACTCGCGTTTCCAGGGGAAGAATAGCAGCATTGTAACCGCTAGAATGAGGAGCTTTGTAGCTGAGGTGTGAAAGTGGAGCTGGCTCCGCAGCACGGGGCTTCGCTTTCCCCCGCTGCCAGGTTTTACAGTGTCCTCTGCTGCTCCCTCGGATCCCATCAATAACACAAAGCAGGATTCTGCCCACCCTGGGTCTCTTCCAGCACCCTGACCTTTCCGGCACAGCGCTGTTGTGCCTCCCCAGGATGAAGTGCTGGTGATGCTGCTCCCCGGGGACAGGCAGCCGGAGGCAGGCAGGGTGTGAGCAGCACAAGATGAGATCACCTGCCAACAGCAGTAGGGAAACTTCATCCTCCTTCGCTGCGAACCTGGAGCAGACTTCCAGACGCGAGCTGCATGATCCTGGAAAGAGTCTCTGGCCTGGGAAATCCGTAGTTTTCCTCCTCCTTCCTCCCCGCCCCTGACATGTCTAGACTAAGGGGCAGCGTTTATCTCCTGTGACCAGCATGGAGCTTTACTGTAAGGGCATGGAAAGCTTTTCCTGCAGCCAAGCAATCATCGTGGTAGCATCCCGTTCAGGCTGTGAAATCCCTGCTTGAGCCTACGCCCTGTGTTCTTTCCCTTGATGCTGTTGCTATCTGCAGTCTGCCTGGAGCAGAGCAGTGTCCAGGAGCTGGGGTCGGTGGTCCTCTTGTGCCAGGCTCCATATGGGGTAGCATCGCTGGGTGACTTTCCCTACACATGGGGCCTGTCTGCCTGCACGACCCAGCCTCATTCCACTCTTCTTCCTTTCCTTCTGCATTGAGGAAGAGAACAAACAAGCAAACAAAGACCAGGGAAAACAGTGCAAAGCCCGCTTCTGGATCATCCCCACTGTCTGCAGCACATCCCTGTCCAGCCTGTGTGCTCATTTGTGATGGTTTTAATCTCCCTGTATTTTAGTTCTCCCAGAAGCTGAAGTGTGTGCACCAACCACAAAGAAATCTAGGCTTAAAGAAACAATGGAACCAGGTTCTCATATCCCTGCCAGCCGTGGAGAAGACCAGATATTGACTGATAAGCACCCGATACATGTCATTTCCAGTATCCCATCTGGAAACAGCAGCCCCTGTGGTGTTGCTGATGCAGATCTGAAAGGTTCCTTCATGTCCTGCAATTTACCTCTCTGAGGATGTCAACAGAAACCCCACAGTTTGAAATAACTTAATGCTTCTCCCTCCATCAGCCAGGTCTAACAGAGGACAAAGGAAATGTTCTTGTATTCTGTTGCAGAGTGTCTAAGCTATAAAAAGGGCCCAAATGGCTTCCCCCTGAGCACAAATAACAACAGGAGAAAGATCCATATGCAATTGAGTGTAGGATAAATGCGCTTAGCTGATCGTTCGTTTCCCTAATATTTGTTTTATGAATAGGCTTAACTTATGGTAAGATGGGACTTTATGGTCCTCTAAGTCTTGCTTGTGTCAAAACAAATGAACTAGCCATCTAGGGGGGAACTATCAATCCAATAGATGTGTGTGTATGGGTGTGGGGAGTCAGGCCTATTATACCTTTAAGAGCAAATTAGATGCTGTTCTTATGATTCATAATGCTATATATCTAATGGCATGACTCGTCATCTAGAAAATAAACGTTTCGAGCCAGTTTCTCATCTCATAAATTTCCCCTCTGGCACTGAAGGACATAAACTAAATGGGCTGACTCACAGGGAAACAACACAATTTGGATACTTTGAAATGAAAGATAAAGTTGCCTTTGGGCACACAGAGGCGTTGAGATCCCAAGGAGTGGTTGGTGAGCACATTGAGGGCCACGCTACCATCCCCAGCACACAGGGATGCTCCTGGGAAGCCCCTCATGCTGGTAGGGCCTGTTGGGGTTTCCTAGTTTGGTAGCTTTGGTGTGACCACCATGGCGAGATGGTTATGGTGGAGATGGTCGTCTTGTGTATGCTGTCTCCTGCTGGGATGCAGGGGGTTACTGCACATTTCCAAGCATAGCAGCAGGGAATAGCAGGGACTGTAGTGATAGGACAAGGTGTAATGGGTTAAAACTGAAACAGGGGAAGTTTAGATTGGATATAAGGAGGAAGTTCTTTACTGTAAGGGTGGAATGGGTTGCCCAGGGAAGCTGTGAATGCTCCATCTCTGGTAGTGTTTAAGGCTAGGTTGCACAGAGCCTTGGATGACATGATTTAGTGTGAGGTGTCCCTGCCCATGGCATGGGGATTGGAACTGGATGATCTTAAGGTCCTTTCCATCCCTAACTATTCTATGATTCTATGACATATGGAGTTTCCCACTCCAAGGCAAATGAAGAAGCATCCTCAGCCACCGCAAACCAGGGAGGTCCCTGTGCATTCCCACTTGAAGCTCTCCCAAAGGCTGCTGCTGCCCGTGGGACTCAACACCTTTGCTGCATCCTTTGTCCACTGCTTTTGGTCTTCTGTGCTGTTGGGCTTCTGGTTTGGGTGGCAGCTGCTGTGCCTCTGGGTATGTGTGGTCAGTCCTGTACCTCCCAGGCTACATTGTCAGGAGAAAGGGAAGGACATGGCTGCCACCTTTGGGGCTGGGCTATTGCTCTTGCAGGGGAAGGTGACTTCAACTGCTGATCTCTGCCTGAGAGCAGCCAGAGCCTTGAGCAGGCTGGGGAGCTGAGGGCATGAGGGGTGGGCTGGGTGTGAGCTATATCAAACACTTCAGTGCTGGAGGACCAGAGTCCTCAACACTCATGGGCACCTTGCCTTCATCCTGCAGTTTCTGAGGTGCAACCATTCCCACAGGGCAGGCTGGTATCCCCATGGTGGGTGTAATGCTTCCTAAAGTGATGGCGAGCATCTTTGTGCAGTGAGCTCCATCCCTTCTTTCTACATGGTCTTACCCTTTTCCCCTCCATCAGTTCGCTCTTGCCACTTCCCCACCTTTTGCCATGCACTCCCCTGGGAAGATCCTAGAAACTGCTGGCTTGGAATCCTGCTGGAAAGTGAGACAAGGTGAGTCCTGGCCCTGACGTCAGCTGGATGCAGGCACCGGGGGCTGGCCATGCTCTGAGTAACCTGGTTAGTGCACGTAGGTGCTTTAATGAGAGCCCTGGAAGGATGCATCACTGAGCTAACCTTGTTTGTGTAAAGGTTGACACAAGGCAGATGATGGCTGGGAACCTGCAGGATCTAATTGAAACGTGCACAGGGCAGAGCAGGGATTGCTCATCCTGCCTTGCACTCACCAGCAGAAATAAGGAAACAGAAGGAAGGAATTGACTATTGGATTTGGCTAAAGGGCAAGGATGGGGTGGGTGAGATTTCATCCTTGGGTTGGGATGTGCAGGGAGAGCAGTGAGGGTCGGGGATAGGGTCAGGGTGACAGCACAAGGATCTACCTATGTCTGTCTTCACCCGCAATGCATGTCTGTGCACACATGGACCCACAACACACGTGTCTATCCTGCTTCCTAAGGAAAGCATACACTTTCCCATCCATCTACATGAACCATTTTGTGTTTCTACCCTGCACAGCACCGCTGCTCCCTACACAAGTGTATCTGCACTCATTTATTCATGTATTAGATAAACTCCTCTCTGTTGCCCTTGCTTCCCTCACTTTGCAGCACCCCCTCCGGCCCAGCTAAAGAACAAAGCAAAATAACATCACATTTTCTCTCTTTTACATGTTTTTTTCCTTCCTTTCCTCTTTCCCCCCTTTTTGGAACAGTCCCATTTTGTAAAATGCCTGGAAGCAGAAACTGCTTCAGACACAAAAGCCTGGTTAAAGGTGCTCGGGGTGTTCGGCTCCGGACAATGGGAGCCCTGATGTCAGGCTCTATTTATATCCCTGCTTTCAGAAACCTCCCCAGATGGTGCATTTCCTAGAGCTTTCTGCTCAATCCCGGAGCTGCTGGAGCTGTCCCTGTCCCCCTCAGAGGGTAGGGATTTATCTTTAAGGCATGACCTTTGGTATCACTGGGGCCAGGCATCCGCAGGCAGCTTTGAATGGGTGGAATAGAGCTGCTGCGAGCCGGGCTGCTCTACATGGATGAGGACCCATGAAGGCATTTCAACCCCAAAAATGCCTTGTAAAAGGTCAAAAGCATTACAGAGAGGTTTGTTTTAATGGATGGAATTTTGGTGATATGATTATTGTATCAGGGCATTGCAGCTTTACAGGGCTGGAGAGAACATTCACTGTGTGTGTGTGCAGGGAGAGACCTGTCTTCTGAGCTGGGGGTTGGTTTAGGCACAACAGGCAAAGAGTAGCAGGAGAAACCACTTTAAATCCATGTAGTCTGAACCACAGCAGGGTATGGAGCGAGGGATGCTCCGTGCTGCAGTGTGGGCACCAACACCAGGCTGCAGGGAATGCACCATAGGGTTAGACATGGAGGGCTTTGGGAATTCAGTGGTGTTTGAGCCTCAGATTCAGCAGATGAAAAGCCGTTATTCTGGGGATCCACTGGCCTCATGAAGAGCATTGGGAGGGCTCCTGGTCAGGTTGAGGACAGCCTGCAGAGAGGAGGCCAACACCCTGCAAGTGTTTAACGGGATTCTGTCTTTTGCTTCCACATGATGCTATTTTGCTTGTGAGTAGTCCTTACACAGTGAATAAGGCAGCAATTTGCTTGCAGGAGGGCAGCTCCTATGAATAACCTATGAGAAGGGTGGAAGTGTGGCTGGGGATGGAGAAATTAATATATGAGGGACAGAAACAGCTATGGGGCAGGCACAGGGATGCATTTCATTGCGCGCGGCAGCACGTACCCTACATATGATGTCTGGTGCCACAACAGGCTTAAGTTAATGTTTCTTCAGGCAGTTTAGTCCCCCAACACAGGATTCCACTCTAGAATCATGCAGATGCTCCCCATCCCCACCCAGGGATGAACCAGCATCACTCGATACCCAGGAGCTAAAGCACAGGGAGCGGAAGGGATGCTCCCAGGGCCATGCAGAGGGTCTGTGGCAGAGGTGGGGAGGATCCATCCTGTACTCCCTGATCCTGGGGCTCTGCACACATGTATCCCTGATGCTCAGTCCTGCACAGTCCTGCTGCTGGCTGGATTTCACCGAGCCTTTAGCACACGTGTTCACGCTTTTTGTTCTCACATCAGGCTTTCAAGGGAGCCCTGATGAGCTCATACTGGTGCTCGGGGAAAGGCGATGTTATTGAAGACTGGTGCAGGTGCGACCTCAACGCCTTCGATGAGAACGGACTCCCCAACTGCAGCCCTCTCCCTCCACCCGTGTACGTATCCATGTGAGCCCCTTCTATGGGTCACAGCCCCCCCCCAGCACCATCCCCTTCCTGCAGGCTCAGGCAATGGGCACCTCCTGCCCCTCACCTGCAAGCCCAGGGGCCGCAGGCCAGCACTCCTCACTGTGAGACTGATGCAGTTAGGACATCCTGGCTCCGACTGTGGCCCTGGAAGGTTTCCTTGTAGATTTTCATCACCTGATTAGCAAGGCTTGTAGAATGGGATTTCAAATGCTGAAAGAAATGGAATTACAGCGCAATTCATTGTGGCTTGTCAGAGCAAGAGCAAATCAGGAGCAAACTGATGGGGAATTAGCTGAGAAAGCAGGAAGACTGGCTCCAGCGAGCCACAAGGAGCAGAGCACCTTCTTAGTGAGCCAACATCCTCAGAGGGGATTCATTTCCCATCCCGAGTCCAACAAACACACTTGCATGTTTGGAGCTGGACTCTCTGTAGCCCTGTACTTTGTATTGTCATTTACCCTGGTGCAAAGAGAGCAGATGCCTTCTCACTAACACAGCCAGGAGCACAAAGCTGCTCTGCTTTGTCCCCTACCCACGTCATCCCTGACCTGGGCAGGAGCTCCCGCACAGCTGCCCTGCTTTGGCTGATGCTCACACCCATCAGAGCCTTGCTCACTTGCAGCTGGGTAAATTCACAGCCACACCTGCCCCTTCTCTCCCTCCCTGTGCTCTGGCAATGCACACAGGACCCTCCCCTCCTGTAGGCTCAACCCTGCTGGGTTATGTGAAGGTTAAGCTGGAGCCTCCCTGTCTTTTCTGCTCCTTGGTTTCCTATGGGGCTGCTGAGGTTCCTTTAGGTGGGATTCTAGTGGAAGGTGTCCCTGCAGGGGTTGGAACTGGATGAGCTTTAAGGTCCCTTCCAATACAAACCATTCTATGGCTGTATGGATGGCTGGGTTGCATGGCTGTGACTGCATGACCTAGGCTTTTCCAGGAGGAGGGGGAAAGAAGGACACATTGCAGTAGGGTGCAACTGACCTTCAAATGGAAGCTCTTCCATGCTCTCCTACCTGCTTTCCTGTTGTGCACATTGCTGTGTATGAGTGTGAGCCCTGCCTGGGGCTGTGCTGCTTGCAGAGGTGGATTCCACCCTATAAAGGGAACTGATGTCTTACTTAGTGTCTTCTCTGTCTCCTGCCCAGCCTGCGGCTCTCCCCCAGCGTGGAGCCCTCCAGCACCGTGGTCTCTCTGGAGTGGCTGGATGTGCAGCCTGCCATCGGGGCCAAGGTGTCTGACTACGTCCTGCAGCACAAGAAGGTGGATGAGTACACGGACACGGACCTCTACACAGGTGGGTGCTGCTCCTCTGGGTGCAGAGGGTACAGGGCAATGCATCCTGTGCCCTGCCTGGCTGGGAGCTGCTGCGTCTGTGGACAGTGGTGCATAGAGCCAAGGTGTTATAGGGGTGTTTGAGAGAAAGGGGAAATACAAGGACACAGCATAGCAGAAGGAAATGATTAGCATTTTTTGGGGTAGGAGAGCTCTGAGTTGAGCTTCTGAGTGAAGTGATTGGTCTGAGTAGGCTGAAATGCTACAGGATAGTGGCTGCGGGGAGAGGGCAGTTCTGAATAGCTCAAGGGCTTTACTGATCCCTTCTAGTGAGTACTGCATTGCATGGCAGCCTTTGAAAGGACACTTCAAGTTGCCTTACACACATAGTAAAGTAACTCAAAGCCTCTAATATATAAGGAGATCATTTAAGCAGCACAAAACTTCTCCAGGGGAACCTGAAACTTCCCTGGGTTGGAGTTTGGTTCCCAGCTCAGGCTTAGACTGAGTGCTCTGTGCCTTGCGAAAGCTTTGTCAGCAATTCAGGCTGTGCTCTGGGAGCTGCTGGGGTGTGAATCAGGGGGGTTGATTTGGGTGAATCAGTGGTTTATTTTGGAAAATAGGATTTGAGACCTGAAGTGATGCTGCTGATGCATGGAAAGCCAGGCAAAGCCTCCCACTGCTTTTTGCTTGAGGATTTGGGATGTACTTTGTTAAAGATGCTCATGTGATATGTCAAGGGCAGCTGGTGGTGTTGACCAAAGCAGAGATTTCCCTTTCTGTGAAGGCTGCTTCCTCCAGATGCTATCAGTGGCCGTATTTCAAGCCCTTCTAGGTAAGGGAACATGAAGAAAGCTTCTACCTGTCACTGGAGCAAAGGAGCAGCTTTGTCATTGGAGCTCAGCAACAGCTCCTGCTCTGTGTCATTAAAACCTCATTTGGTTTAAGGCTTATGTGAGGTGTTGTGTGTTCATGCTGCCTGCAAGGACAAGGAACCAGCCTGGAGGTAGGGACAGGGCTGGCACTGGAGAGGGGAAACCTCCCTGTGTTCTGGCAGGGGCTTCCTGGCCATCCAGGCAAGGCTTTTGTCTGTGTTCTCGTGCTGGGAAGGTGACTTCAGGAAGATCAATCAGATCAAGCTCAGGAGCTGTGCACAGTCCTCAGGTCTTGGTCAGAAGCTTTCTCAGCTTGTGGAGGTGGCTTGTTTCTTCTCCTTACTCATCTCTGAGCCAAGCCCTGTGCTGCAATGAGCTGCCATGAAGTGCTCCAGCTCACAGCCACAGGCAACTCTTGATCCTCTCTGTTCATCTCAGACCAATCTATTCTGCATCTGCAGCCTTTCCTATCCACTTCCAGCACTGCCCCATACAGCCATGGCCCCTGGGTTATGGTTCCTGGCATGAAAGGAGGCTTGTTCTTTATCTTGGAGGGGCACCCTCCAGTAAGGGAAACAGAAAACAAGCCACCAAAGGAGGGGCTTTGTTTTGGATGGGGATGCCAGATTGTTCACACATCACTCAGGTGAGGCCAGGCCAGGGAAAGGTGGGGTTTCACCTCTGAACTGGCCGGATTTCTGCCTGGCAGCCAGAGGAGGAAACAGAGATGATTATTAGTATTATTTCCCTTTTATGACTGCCATGTGTTTGACAGGCGATTGAATTCATTGTGGGGAGCTGCCCTCCCCTCACCTTGCTCTGGGGATTGCATGGGACAGAATAACCCCATTAAAAATTACAGAGAAAAGCCAATTCTAAATGTCTCCTTTTTTTCCTGTGTTGCTTAGAACTGAACAGCATTCCTGCCTCCATTCCTTTATTACCCTGCAGACCTCTAGTGCCAGATGACTTGATTCTTGCAAATACCATGTGTAGGTTTGCAGAGATGCTGACTGCTATAGGCTTCACTTGTACTGTGCTTCACCCAGCCAAAAGTCCTACTGTGGGTGTTCCCTCATCACCATCACCTACCCATCTGGCTGCACCTCATCTCCATCACATCTGAGCAGCATCACTGAACAAGGCAACCCCAGAAGGGAGAAGCTTTGGGAGAGGGGTGTGGGACATGAAATTTTGGGCATATCTCTGGGGCAGATCTTCCTTCCCCATCAATCTCCTGGCAGGTAGGTGCAAGTTGCTCTGTTACTGGGACATGTATGATGGGGATTTGTAGTGTGGCAGTGCAAGGCTTGAGGGCTCTTAAGGCTGCTGCCATTCATTCCTTGCATCTCTTGAATCAAAATGTGTGGGTCATGTGTGCTTGTACAGGGGTTTGTTTGTTTTATTGCAATTGTATTCATTTCCTATTGGGATTCCTGGTGTTGTCTGGGGCTAGAGCTGTGCCAACCTGCTCTTCAGCCCCATGGCAAGCTAGAGGGTACCTGCCCTCTGCCTTACGCGCCTTCTGGCTTCCTCCTGCTCCCCAAAAACCTCTGGTCACTCACTCTTGCCAAACTCTTTGGCCTTTGCAACTGGAAGATGGAGCCTTTTCCTTCAGCCAGGAAGTATTTGCTCCACTTCCTCTTGGAGCAGTCAGGAGGGACTTGGGAAGCTGATCTAACGTGCATCCCCTGTGCACAGGGCAGTGATGCTATGGGATGGGGTGGAAGAAGCTGGGAGCTCACATGGGTTGGCTGCCCTAGGCTGTATGTGCTTCTTAAACAGGCTTATTACTGGTACTTAGGAAAACACAGCCCTTGGACAACGTGAGGCTAATAGGAGGTGAACTTGTGTGCGAAACAAACCATGCTTTCAACACCACCAGCGGAGAAGGTGGGGAGCAATTACACCCCAAACTGTTGATTAAGACTTGTGGAAATTGTTCCTAGCTGCATGTGTGCACCCACTTTGTAGTTGAGTGATGCTCTTTGTTTGAACATGGGGCTCTCGAAGAGGGCGCGAGTGTGTGTGTGTGTGTGTGTGCATGGCTGAGCCCGCCAGCGCATTATGTCATGGGCGAAGCAGGCGCTGCGCTTGAGAGAGGGAGAGGGAGAAATGTGTTTTACAGGGTGAGGTACAAACTGAAATGGCTGTGAACATCTGGAACTGATATTAGGGCTTGGAAAATGTTTTCTGTCACTCCAACGCTCCTCTGGAGGGAGGTTTCTGAAGTTAAGAAGCTCCAAAGGGGATGAGGGGGAGGGATGAGGGGATAAAGTGACCGTGGTGCGAAGTGCTTTTCATGTCTCAGTTCTGGTTGCTGTAGCTATGCCATGCTGGATGGGGGTCCTGGGGTATCGCTCATTGTGGTGGCCTTGGCTTAGAATGTCCCCTGAGCCTTGCTGCCTGAGATGGTCCTGCATGGGGAGTGCTGCATCCTCCAGCCTGTGATGGGTAGAAGGGCAGAAGGATCCTTGCCCTGGTTTTAGGGTTGGGAGCTAAGGTGGGAGACCACAATTGAAAGATGAAGGCTGAAATCCTCAGGTGAGGTGTAAGAAAAGACTCCCAAGCTTTATTATTTCTCAGGGATCCTTTCTGCTCCTGTATCTCATTGGCTGATCATGTTCAAAGAAGAGGTAGCCCTCATCAAGAACAGCTTGTAATTCCTGAGCAGAACAGAAACACAACCTGCAGAAGAATGCAGATGCTGACAGCTTGGTCAAAGTCTTCTAGTATACTAGGGCCCTCAATACACAAGCCTGTGGCATGGAGAAGAGCTGGCAGGAGGGTGTCTGGAGAATAGGCCGGGTAGAATGATGTACAGAATGAAGGGTATGAGCACGTAAAACCTATGTGCAGCACCATGCCAGAGTCGCAGGCTTCTCTGGAGCAATGCTGTTCTGCAGAGGAGCCTTTGAATACACATCATGTCTCTAAAAGAGGTCAAACCAAAAGGCTTAGTGGTTTGTAAGTTGTGCTCTTGAGTTGAAGCTTGAGAGTATCTCATTTATAACTTTGGTCTGTAGAGCATCATTCTGATGTGTTTGGATGGCCAGGACTGTATGGGTATAGCTATGGCAACCGTTGCTTCCAGAACACCCTCCTGTATACAAGCTGTGCTGCTACTGACATGTGAAAACCAGGGACAGGCTGGAAGAGGAGGAAGAACTATCTGGGCAGAGCAAATAGTGTGCCTGTCAGTGAGGAATCAGTGCGATCTTTGTACACTGGGGCTGTGCGCCTATTACATGCCTTAAAATCATCTTCAGAGTTCCAACTTCCCAACAGCTTTGGTACCAAAGAGAACAGCAGGAATTGACACTGCCCTTGGAAAGCTGTAGGAGCTTGATGTCCGGAGATGGGTAAATACATGGACATCCTGCGTTTAATCCATGCCAGTCAAGAGTGGAGGATGTTAAAGCAGGAGTGTTTAAACCAGTTGTTAGAGGTGGTGTTGTTAGATCTTGAGTGTGAGTGATGGTATTGACTATCTCTGTAAAGCCCTGTGGTGGCAAAGCTCTCTCTGTAGGGACCTGTGGCACCTATGTTGATATAGGTGCCATTTTCATATATGATGTTTGGTTGGAGAGGTGGCCCAGAGGTTGCAGAGGAAGGACACTACGATCTCCATTGGTTTCAGAACAGTTCTGCTCTCACCAGCTATGACACCACACTGTAGCTCTCAGCATAGTGATGCTGGTGGTCAGGAAGGTTAGCACTCAGCCTGGAAGCAACAAACAGCTCTTTCGGGGTCATCTGTGTGTTTGACTTGTGTTCAAAGGAGGTCCTTGGGCATGACCAAAGTAGAGGAGGACCTGATGGTGGTCAGGAGCTGATGCCGCTGCTTGGTTGTCTCTACCTGGTGGATCTCAGCTGGTTTCTCAGTGGACAGGTATCTGGCTGCTCACAACCACCACTTGGTGAGGATTGTCTGGGGTTGGAAATGCAGCAGAGCTTCATCTATGAATGACTGTGTGCAGGCAGCCTGGTCAGGCAGGGCTGCTGTGTGGAAGCTGTCACTGCTGCCGTCTCTCCTATGACTAGCACATGGGTAAAGATGTTTTCAACACCCAGAATACCCTCCTGGAGCACTGAATCCATTTCACTTGTTGGCAAAAGCAAAGATGATTCAAAAAAAGGAGCCTTT